AAGAAGAAGAAGAAGAAGAGAGGAAGAGGATAAAAGGAAGAGATAGAGGAAGAGAGAGGGCGGAGGGGAGTAATACGGGGTGTACAGGGCTAAAAGAAGCGCCCAAGGAGAGTATATTGGCAGCAAGCACAGCAACGGCTGGGGGTTCTTCTTCTCCCTGGTACTTTTTTTCCTTTTCTCTTATTCCGTTCGAGGCTGAGAGAAGCGAGAGAGGGAGCAGAGCAAAGAGAACGAGGGAGGAAAAAGGGTCGAGTCGACGCAGAGCAAAGCAACAAACGCTTCTGACCGGGGGGGCTGAGGGCGCAACGAGGCTGCGCTGCAGGACTTGGTGGTGGGGTTCTCTAACGGCCAGTGAGCTGCGCCGGGCGTCGTCGTCGTCGTCGTCGTAAGGATCTTGGAGGAAGACACAGCCGCAGCGAGCAGGAAGAGACAGCAGAGCCGAAAGAGAGAGTGAAAACGCTGTCTAAAAAGGGACGAAGTTGAAGCTGAAGTCGACGTCGATTTTGGCGCATCGCGGCTTTTTGGGGGTGTTGCGTATTGGTATTACGGAGTTGCGCGGGCCGGTTGGCTGTTTATGTACGGTATTTTTGGTATTTCTATTTCCATATAAACACACGATACCTATATAAAGAGAAAAGAAAAAAGACGGTCGATCTACGGAGTAGATAGATTTTATATTGATGCAGGGAGGACGAAGAAGAAGGCATTGAAGATGTTGATTTCGAGGAGACAAAGCTGGTCATTTCTTTCTAACAACCCAATGCACCGGTTTGTAGGTGTTGAAGAGCATGCTGTCGGGGTCCTGGATGTAGCCGCAGCCCCCTATGTCCTCCTCGACCTTCTCGACGGCAAAGCCCATCCTCTCTATCAGCGCCAGAACTTCATCCTGCGACAGTTCTACGACTCCAGGGTCTGCTATTCCCTCTCCCTGACCGTGCCCTCGGCCATGGTGGCTATGGCTATGGCTATGGCTATGGTTGTGGCTGTGACCATGGCTATACTCCTTCTCGAGATCATCGTCACCCGGGGCATGGGCAGAAGCAGCTGCATCCTCTGTCACCTTACCGCCATCACCACCGGCAGCAGCAGCAGCAGCAGTAGCAGACGGAGCTGGTCTATCCTCAAAATGCCACAGTAGCGGGCCAACATTGCTCCAGATGCCTCCCGGCCGTAGACAGTGGTGCACCGTCTGGATGTACCGTATCAGATTTGGCGCAGTATCAATGAAAAACACCGTAGCCACGGCGTGGAAGGCCTCTCTGTTCGACTCCTCATTGTACAGTAACAGAAAATCCGCAGCTGTCATGCTCATCGATCCCGTCATCTTCTTCGTCTCCTTCCGGCTGTCTTCCTTGCCTTCAGCGTCAGCCTCGTATCCTCTGACTGCGGATCCAGGATGAACATCCGGTACAAGGACCTTCTTGAACTGTTGCTGACGAGTCCGCAGGTTCGAAAAATGCAGTACAAAAGGGTATATAGCGCACTCTTCCTTGCGTTTTGTCCGGTTAAGCACCCAGCTACTTGTCACCAGCTGATGGTACGAGATCTCATTCCCTTCTGCATCGAAACCGGCCATCGCAACGTCAAAAACCAGCCTACCCAGCCCAGCCCCCGGAATCAACACCCTGGTGCCCTGCGCAGGCATCTCTCCAAACTCATCTTGCAAGTCTCGCATGACGGGGCCGTAGCATGTCTCTCTTTCTACCGCACCCCCCTCACTCCAGTCCCGGTATAGCTGGCGGATTGTAGAGTTGGCCTTGCTCACGTCTGATGAAGTAGCTGTGTCATGCCATGATACATCTCTGCCATGACCTTCCTTTGCGGTGTCCTCAGCCTGGGGGTGCCGGGGAAGCTGAAATGCCTCCAGGGCAGAGTCGAGAATGGCCTCAGCTACCTCCGCATTGGCATCAATGGCGTCGTCCACCTTGTTGAATGTCTCGAGCAGGTTAAAGGGTGGCGCGGCAAGGGTTTTCCAGTGCAGCGAGGGTAGAGCGTAGAACGACTGCCGCCGTCTATGAGTGACGTTTCGATGCGCAGAGCGGCGGTATTGTCTATCTGTAGCATTAGCAATTATACACGGGCTGTCAATTCCAAGTAAGAATGCCTACCTGAAGGAGTCCAGAGAGGCAAACAGAACCCTCCGCTCCTCTGGGTCAGCAAACGGATCAAAGGCACCACTCCATTCTTCTTCCCCTTCTCCTTCGTCTTCTCTTCTTTGCTGCTGCTGCTGCTGCTCTGTTTGGTTCTCCTTATCCATTCTGGCAGTTCTATTCCTTGAGTTTGACCATCCCACCAGTCGATGTCCCTTGGCTAGAGGTGTAACTAACTGGCTGGGCCATTTGATAATAAACTAACCAATGAAGTAATTTATTCAATACCATTATTAACTCGCTAATGTTAACTAGTTATAATTGGTTAGTCAACTAGCTAGTTAGTTAACTATACAGTTAGTTAAAAACTTTTTAGTAGCGGTGTTTATAGGCTGGGGGTTTGATATATCGGCTTTCCAGCCAACTACCCAAAGACAAGCAATAACCGGATGTCAAGATTACAGATATTGGCGGCACTACGACAATGCTTTGGCTATATAAAACTCAGGTAGCTAGTTAGCTACGGTAACTAGTTACCTTGACAATTCTGGCTCCTCGTTTGTACCAGCGTGCTAATATGATAATCAACCTCACAGGTCTCTGATCCGGAACCCTCCTGGTTGATACCCAGAATGATCCCGAAAAACTTACAATATGTCACCTCCTTTTGACTCGCATTGCGAAGCTGAACCTCTACGGAACTTATATCCAGGGTCTCTACATGAAGTTAATTTCTTTGAGCCGACTGTTGCACTGTTCTACCAGCTGTAGCCCGACATGTAAAGGTACAGGATAGGGTGCTGTCAGCCTGACCGTCTATTCTTTTCACTGTGAGGTATTTTCAACATAGATTGCATACCTTACTACTTACGTGCAACTTATGAAATGTTAGAGTAGATTCTCTATTGATCAACTATGCAATATTTTTGCGAGTTGTATGTTTTCCGTAGATTGGTATAATATTGAACTGGCTACATGTTTGATGGTGAATATTCCCGCTGCAACCTTCCAAGGGCTACTCTCGCCTGGTATGACCAAATAGTTACGCTGGTTAATTATTCCTTTGTATATCATCATATAGTATAGCTAACAGTACACTGTCTCCAGCACTCACGAGGCGACCATTCTAACTTCCAACAAGCAGACCTCCTGGCTCGGATAGATATATTGCATTTGCTACGGTAAATAATAAGGGAAAGAAAATGGTCTCTTCACACACTGGTTGGAAGTATGTGTCGGAAACCAGATTCTCAAAATTCCGCTTTAAAAAATATGCCCCTAGCTGCTCGCTGAGAGCACAGATTGGGATACCGAGAGACAGGGGTAGATCAGTGCCACAGTGCCACAGATGCAGAAATTGGCAAATGTTGGCATCTCACAACCAGTGCCGATGTTCAGAGCAGGATACCCGGTCTCAAATGGAGCCACGGATTTCCAGGGAAAACAGTCATGAAACTTCGTAAACTCGTGAAGCCCTACTTCACGCCTAAAATCCACGGTCCATATATTTTGCTCTTGGCTCAATGTGACCCAGAGTTCCAAGAAGATAGAAGGACAGACTAAATATAACATAGGTGTCATACGATCAATTGCTCAGGGCGGTGAATCAAGATCATATCCCCTTATTCTTCATTTCAAAACACTGGCTAAAAGGAGAGGAGATCTCGTAGATCCGGATCCTCCCCAAAGGGGCCGGGTGGACTCCCATGTTTGCCTCGTCTCTTGAGGTGAGCAGTGGCCTTGGGAGGTACTTGCTATCAGCAAGTCCACTTATTGCAATCGATTCATGTTACGTTGACAGCCATTCAGGCCAAACGATCCTACTGGCCTTTTGGCAGACGTTGGTAGGAGGAATCCAGAGTGTGGGTAATGAGAATATTGAGGGCGGAAGGAGTTCTATCGGCCGATGGAGGGTGAAGGGAAGAAACATGGTTTGGCAAAATGGCGACTGCATATATCACCTCCAAACCAAGAAATTACGCCGGGCGATTGAAGGGCAGACAACATCCACAGCTGTTGGGTATATTCGCATCGAGGAGTGAGTCAGATGGCTGCTCTGCGAAGCCGGAGGGCTTTAGCTGGTGGCTGGTGAGAGTGGAGCAGACGACCTGCATCTCCTTACTGACACCGTTATGCAGATTTGACGTGAGTTCAAGCTGAGCCTGGGATTTTTGGACGCCGGATGGAAGATAATAATATTCGCACCTGGTCCCCTGCTCAGTCGGATAGTAGCCGGGCCAAGATCCAGGATCAAGGCCCTACGGGCTCTGCCATCAGCTTCAGCCTTCGAAAGCGTATTCTAGAAGTTCTGCTGAAGGTACAGAGAAAAGCGTCAAATCCACGACGCTAGCTAGTTATCAAATAATGGGCGTCGTCGGGCTGAAGCTGAAGTCGCTCACATGACGGCCGAAAGGGGAAATACCAGACGTCACCCCTACGACTCTGTCTCTTCGACTTCCAACCTTCAGACTTCAAACCCGCGCATCAACTCCAGCAACGCGAGCTTTCCAGGAGCATCACCGACTCGGGGAGAGATACCCGGATGATAGGACGAACAAGAGTGGCATTCTCCTGTCCTAGCACCGTTTTAATCACTAATTAAACACCGTGGTGGGTTGAAAGCCATTAATAAGATCGGCAGCAGGGCTCGCTAACCAACAGACTAGAGGACTAGTTATCACATCGCACCGTTTCATGAAGATAGCGTCAACTGATTGAAATGTTATTTACTAAGTAGTAGTTAGCTATCTACTTTGCTTGCCTTTTGAATGCTTCCGTCGAAGCCGCTTCTGACGGTTCCACGGAACAAACAGAGGCTAGCAAAAATTCTGGCAAAGCTCCGTGCCTGATGAAACAAGCCGTGAAGAAAATCAGTCGTGCTAGAGTCTGGCCGGCTGTCCCGTCCAATTGGAGGCTCCTTATTGCCGGTATGGTACATCAGTCTGGTAACCGCATTCGTTTGTCAACTGCCTCATACGCTGCTATTGGATGCGGCCCGTCCTCCATTCCGAGTTAGTTGACGCTTTCCACACCTCCACAACTCAAAGTTTGTGGCCCATGGAAGGGGAAGAAGGAAGATTGCTCGACAAGGGCTTAACGAGATCGAAGAGCCGGCTAAAATGGAAATTGGCGATGATGGAAAATTCCCCTTTTTAACCGATCGCAAGGTCCAAACCCATGTTCGCTCCTCGGCTGCCCTATTACATGCTTACGTATATTGGATACGTGCATGATGTCAATATGCAACCTCTTCCAAATAAAAAAAAACGAATCTCTTGATAAATTTTTAATACACCCTGCGACTGGAGGGGAAGCCAGTATCCACCATCCAACAAACTTTGCCCCGGGGCCTGGGGAAAGGTTTGACAGACCTGGTTGCCACCACAGTCATCACTCCCATCTTGGCGCATCTTCGGTTACGCTCCGAGAAGCATTTTCCATTCCTCGCCAACATTTCCGACACGAGGGTGAGCGTTTCTATGCTCCTCCCCGCTTCGGAAAATACATTGGATCGAAAACAAAGCATCATCAGGTACTTAGCTTTTCTCCAATCAAGTACACATAGAACTGCAGTGTGAGGCCCAGTCTTGGCGGAAAACTAGTTAGCTAGTGAATAACGGTCGCAAAAGGAGATCCGAGGAGACGGCCCATGTACCAGGTGATGACGGACTCATACTCCGTATACGAAGGACAACCAGAGTCTCTCGTCTCACATGTGTAACTCCCTTGTGCTGAACCAGGGACTGGTCAAGGCCTTGCTTGCTGCCTCTACTATTGTCGTGTGAAGTGGCGTGAAAAAGACTTCCCGCCCTCGAGGCCCGTGCTCAGCTAACGAGATATCCGGCGTCGAAATTCCAATCTAAACGCTTCCAGGAACCAACTCTGGAAGAAGAACGAGGCCTGTGGAATAAATGGTATGTAAGAAATGGAAACCTTGTTGAACCAATGTCCCTTCTCCGGAGTACCCTGTTTACAATTTGCGAGCGATGAGACGATGGACCATCACCAGGATGGCGACACTCGGATTTCGTACACATGCCCTTCCATGCATATACGGGTACATAACTAATATCGTGGCCCCGTCTCCTCTGCAGCCCCTCCCCATGTGAATTCGTTCTCACCTCATTATTTAATAAGATAGTGGTTGGGCACTATCGAGAACCCGCATAAGCAACTCCTAACCCTTGCCCATATATGATATATATATATGCTGCTAGCATTGCTCGAGACATGGCCCTGCTGGCTTCCCGGAGCAGAGGATCGTTTTACGGAGCATTGAAGATGAACTCCGTGTGCCCAGCGCTTGCTTTTTGCAGAACCCCGTAACTATGGTTAGACCATTCGGCATCTAACCGTAACTAAGAATCCCAGATCCCAGATCCCGACTTGTCTTTTCTCCCTTGGATAACCTTCCAGCCTCCCCAAAAAGGTTGATTTAGCTCTCTCCGTGTTGACCCACCCATATATTATTAACGTCCGTTGTTGCACAGTATACGTACTCCGTACATCCTGTCCATTCGAGATGCGTTATTTTAACAGCCTTTTTTCAAGCGTGGAGCCTTTCTTCAGCTTTATCGGCATCCTCCAAAATGGCGATCAAAGCCTCAATCGCAGAACTCGACTCAAAATTGCACGATTAACAATTTGCAATATTAAATAATGAGTTAACTAGTTAGCTAACGCGGAAGGCATCCGCCCGATAAGTCACTTCTGAGACAACAGCCCAATAGACTGGACTATCGTGCACAGAACCGAATAATATATAAGTATCACAGAACAATGAGGGGGAAAGAAAAAAGCAACGGACAACCTCTTTAGGATGTTGGGCATTCTTGAAGGATCTGCAAAAAGACACGGAGTTACCTAGACATTCAACGCTGACATGCCTCAAATTAACACGGATATTACTGCGGGTAACCAATATATACTCTCTCGTGGCGAGATGTGGTACCTGTTTGTCGGTTGAATGGAAGACCAACATATACGAGCGATATCCATGCATGTTTTCCCTATCGCCGGGAGTATCATTGCCAGCGGAATCACGCAAAAGCATTGCCTCAGCCTATGGCTATATAGAGGCGAAGGGGTGTATAGGGGTCATTTGTTGATTTGGGAGTTGCTCGCCGGCACCGTAGCAAGAGCACCCTGAGTATCACCTTGAACCCATACCGTGCCATTTGACACCTTGTTTCCTGGACCCGATCGCGCAAAGGGCAAGGACGGCTGAATTTCCGCTGTGGGATATTGTTACATACAAACAAACAGCCGCATGCCCGCCCAACAACACGGAGCCCGTGGCCATGGCTCAACCTGCATCAGCGCCAGCGTTGTGTTCCCGGCCTGTATGCTCTTTGCCTAGTTGTGTTTAATCCTTTTTTTACACGCGGTACGGAGTACCAAGAGGCCTGTTGATCGCGGTGAGACAGTTCATATTTTTTTTCAATAATTATGTTCTGAGACAGCCTTCTTGAGTTGATACTCGCATCTCGAGAATAGGGTTAGACGGCAGCACCGCGTGGTATTCTTTTGGCTTCGCCGTTGAGGTCGGCGACATCGGCTTAGCTGTCCGTTCCTTCATGCATGTTCCGTTTATACATACTCTGTACGGAGTACTCCGTATTCATATATACCCTACCCAAAAGGGCGATGGGAGCTCCTTTATCACAGTCCAAATCTTGGTACCCAAGGGGGACGATATCTGGAAGGGTAATATCTCATCAAGGTAGCTAATTCTTTTTTATTTTTTCCCACTCCCTTCCCTCCCGCTCCTTGGCTTGTTTTGCTTTTTCACCTTCCTGGCCGTGATATCCCGGAGATGCAGGATATGTCTGGTTCATCCTGTGTAGTACAGCAGCATGGGCCAACCAGTTCATGACGAAAACAGAAAGACCGTCATGCTTCAAAAGAGAATTTTCTTCCATAAGAAGCAATACCGGATCTGGGCCTTGGAGAAACTTGAGGCAAAAATGAAATTAAAAAGGAATCATATGTGACAAATAAAGGACAAAAGAGGAACAGGAGAAGAAAGAAATGGACATCACACTCGTTTAATCCTGCCCAAGCGAATGATATTTGTTTGCTTGAAAGGGATCCTCCTGCGCCTTAGGGCTGTCGTTGCTTTTCCCACTCCGCCATGATAGTATTGACAACCTTCGTCAACCCCTCAGTCTCCTCCTCGACCATCATCCCGGAAAAACCAGCGCTGCAGCCAACATAGACGGGCATCTTCATCCGACGAGCCAGAATCCGGGCCGTGCGTGTTGCATAATCTACACTAGCTGGTGACGAATAGAGAGTTGAGCAGATTGTAGATTTTTCGTTTGAGTTCTGTGTGTTCAGATACAGCAGAACGGGATCGGAAGATCGGGAGGGGAGTTTGTTAGTTTTCTCTTTCTCTTTTCTTTTTTATATAGTATGCTTGGACGATACATTTTGAAATTGGGCAATAATTGAGAGCAAGGCATCTGGAATGAAGGGTGACAAGACAATCAAGAGTTTCCAATTTTTGTACCTGTTCGATATTGGAGAACGGGGAGAAATGTAGCAAGGTATTGAGGCGTCCACAGCCTTGCTGCCTACCTTTCCCCCTTGTCACACGAAGGGGATTTTGTCTCATTCATTTGACCTTGGGTATTGGATGTCGTATAATTGATACGGGGATGGCAATTTCAAAACAAGCAAGGCGTGGCCCGGGATGAAAAAGAAAGCAGGAAGGAAGAGGAAAGAAAGAGTGGTTCATACATCTGGCATGGCATAGACGAAGCTGCCCATGGGCCGGGCAACATTTGAGTCGCCGATCGAGGTTGTCGTCAGAAAGACGAGAGTCGAGGTAGCGAGGCACGTAAGATGGATATGGAGGTTGACGTGTGGCGACTTGGGCAGCGGAAACGACAGCTCGGTGGGCTTGAGAAGAGCCATGTCTGAAGAAGCTCCGTGACTTCGCAAAGGGAAACCGAAAACTGAAACCCGCACTGGTCAAGAGACGACGTTCAAAAATTGGTCAAGATATTATTCTTAGAGCCTGGCCAGCTAACGAACCGGCAACCAACTAACTAGTTACCAGAGTTAGTGTGAGATGAGCTAGCTTCGCGGAGAGTTGGCCTTCTGTCAAGTTCGGTACGTTCGGCAATAACCAGTGTCCCAGCCGGCGAAGGAGCTCCAAAGGTTCCTCAGTTGAGGACTGAGACTTGAGGGGTGACAGAAGCTTCCTCGCTGCTCGCTACTGGATGATCCCTCCTGCATGGCGCTGACGGCCGGACGATCTGAACACCCTCCATCAGCGCAGCAGCAGCAGCAGGGCCAAAATTCCGACAAGCACAAAACGGTTGGGCACACCACACCCAGTGTTTCCATGTGGTTTCACTGTCGCAACTCCAGCGTACAGAGCGTGGAGAACGGGAACTACCTTTGCAGCTGGCCAATCCAACCCGGCGCTGCCCCTTGGGTGACGCTCAGCTTGGCGGGCGCTCTACTTAATTTCGGCTCAGGCTGGATGTGCGAAGTGAAGGACGGGCGGGACTTTTAGGGGCGAACCAGGACGCTTCCGTGACATCGAACCTCGGGCCCAAGCGAAGAGCATCCTGGCTCGTACATGCAAGTACCTCTCTCACACACTCTCTCTCCCTCTTCCTCTCCCTCTCTGGTCTCGCTGCGGTTGCGGCAAGTTGTCCTTTTTTTTTTTACTTTTAGTTACACTTTTCCTCCCTGCAAATTATTCAATTCTTCTTACTAACGAATCCTTATCGCTTGGTAGAGACACCACTATTAGTGTGTGAGTGAGAGCCCAGGCGCAGAACCCAAGCGAGGAACTGGGAGCCCGTGGTCTGACTCCTATCAAGAAAATGCCACTCTGGAGCTGCGAAGTGGTTTCAAGCTGGTGGTGATAATACGAGGTTCAAAGCGCATTTTCCTGCTCCTCCCCTTCAGCCTTTGCAAAAAAACAATAGAGTTGGGATTCCTCGCAGTCTAGCCGTCCGCCTCCTTTTGCCTTCGGCCTGTGGAACTGACAGCCGCATGTGCAGGAATTAACGGAGTATGTAACAGCAGAGTGTCCCAGGTTTTAATCGACACCAACCGCCTTCGATTCTCAACCCCAGCTTTTTTCCTTTTTCCTTTTTCCATTCCCTTTTCTCCCTGGCCCGAGTCCACTGTTGGGCGCTATAACTATCAGCTCCGGGGTTCTTCTCTCGCAAGTTCCCACCACCGCCTGTCCGTGAGACACGGAACAGGAGCTGTCGAATCCTCTTTTTGCTCCCTTGGCCCGAGAAAGAAAAGAAAAGAAAACTTCTATACTGCTGGTCGAAGTTCCTTCTTTGAGTTTCAAGATCAGGTACGGGGGGTCTTTAATAATAATATACATATCCACGAGCCACACACGACAGGTATCTCGTGAGATCTACGATTTACTCATTTAGTTATTTCTCATCCTCGGCACTCCTTTCCAGCTTGTCGGAAGATTTCTTCCTGTGGGGGTAGCATTGGCAACAAGCTGGAAACATCATCCGATACTTAACTATGAAGAGGCCTTTGAACCCCGCGAATTGACTCCAGCTCGGCCATTATATATAGCTAGGCTCATATTCCTGGTCGGCAATAAAGCCGCTCCTTGTACCTTGTCTGCCTTTTTTTTTCCCGCCCCGGAACAAACACCCATTGGAACATCACGAACTACTCGTCCAGAACAGGCATACATTTCCAGTTACATCAATAGAAGAATAATCTGGATGCGGATGGCTGTCACCATTCGAGGCTTGTGAATGAGATTTTGGCCAGAATAGACGGAATGCGACAAGGCTCTCGCTCACACGTCCAGAGCCCAACATTCAGCTGACACTTGTGATTCCTGCATTCAAGCCTGAGAGAAAGCCTTTTTCAGAATGCAGAGACAACAATACCCTCCCCCGCCTCCTAGGAGTCAGCAGAGTGGCTATTATGCTTCGTCACCTGTCTCGTCTATCAGCTCTACATCAACGACTGCTCCGCGACCACCGTCAGAGCCTGGCTGTGGCTCTGCACCTCACCGCGGTCCGCCAGGCAATGGACTCAAGATATCCAACCTTCTCTACACTTCAGCTCCGCATAACCAGCACATGTCTATGGGCAATGCGTATCATCCACAATATGATTACTCGCAGATGCAACATGGAGAGAGACCCGGCTTGTTGCTTAGCCCCCTCCATAATGGCTCGATTTCGGATGCTTCCAGCTCTGCAAGCCACATTTCTCCTGCCGTTCCTCAGCAATCGCACAAGCGCGCATATAGACAGCGACGGAAGGATCCTAGTTGTGATGCGTGTCGCGAAAGGAAAGTAAAGGTATGTGTACCCGACCTTTGTTACTCGTACAGCTGGCTGAGCATATGCTGATAATCTTAACTTAACAGTGCGATGCTTCAGACTCGTCGAGTTGTACGGAGTGTTCCAACCGCAATGTCAGATGTCTTTTTACAAAGGAGACGAACCGACGCATGTCATCTATCAAGTTGGTCACCATTATAACTGCTACGCTCGATCTTCGTTCTTTTGTTTCTCTAACATAATCCAAGGCAAGTTCAAGATCTTGAGAGGCAGCTCGCCCATGCGAAGCTTCAACTGCAACAGTTGCGCTCTGGTGCACCAAAAGCTGCCAGTCTCATGGGATCCGATTCCGATATGAACGAAGATATGCCGGCAATTCCAGAGATAGGCTCTCAACCTGCTCGCCTTCACACCCCAAACGTTAATTATGACTTCTCTCGTGTATGCTCGAAAATGCGAGTCTATGGAGACGGCCTTCTTCATTTCCCGCAAACCCCGTATTTTCTTCGACCGCAGCCTGTTCTGGATGCAGATGTACCCCCGCTTCCGCCAACAAATATCGCACATGTTTTGATGCGACATTATTTCTCTTGTGTCCATTGTCTGTATCCAGTTCTCCACTGGCCTACCATTTTACATGTTTACGAGAGAGTCCATCAGACAGGGACCCTACAAGGTGTCTCGAGGGGTTGGGCTGCTGTCTTTTTTGCCCTGTTGGGCTGTGGGTCTCTGCATTCCCTTGATCGAGACTTAATTGCCAAAGGTAAGGAATATATCAAAACCAGTATGGGCTTGATCGACCTTTGGCAAAATACGTTCTCGATTGAGCAAGCTCGCGGCGCAATGCTGGTGAGCATCTACTTGTCTGAACTAAACATCAACTCTGTCAGCTGGGTATGGCTTGGTGCGGCAGTACGGATTGCTCAGGACCTTGGTTTCCACATGGAGTCAGGCCCATGGGAGCCGATGGATGGTGAAATGCGGAAACGCGTATGGTGGTCCATTTACTCGTGGGAGAGGTTAGTTCACGCACAACTTCTATGTTATCTTGTCTTCTCCTTGGATAACGTTGCTAACAAGCGGTTAATAGATTGAGCGCTTTGGAACTTGGCCGCCCACTCGCAATTATTGACGAGGACTGTGATATTTCACTTCCATCCTCAATCGAAGAGCAACTTATCCAAGAAGGGACTCCGGCCCCAGATCAGAAATCAAATCCCTTACTCGTTATAGTCCACATAATGCGCTGCGTTTCGCAACTTACGAAAGCTCTCAAAAGTTTGGTTATATCGAGTGATACCCTGGAGCTATTTGATCGGCATTTCCGGGCTTGTTTAAACAGCTTCCCGGCGGATTATCACATGCAGTCAAATCAATACTTGGATCCACGATCGCTTTCCCCTGTTATTATTCTCCAGAACACCAGGTTAGTTCTACACCGCCATAACCTCTCTCCCGGATGTCCACCGGAGATCCGGAATATCGCCATGGATCATTGTTTGGCAGTTGCTCGCGATACTACTGGGATTTTGACCAGATGCATGCGCTCGCCAACCTCTGGAGAACCTGGAGCTCCCTCGAAAGTCAACGGCGATGACTGGCGCTATCTATTAGCTGCAGCCGCCACTTCCGTGATTTGCAAGCATATTTGGCGGTGCATTCTGCTATTGTTATGCAGAGCCGATTATGCTGCTGCACTAGTATGCATACAAGCCTGTTCTGCAATCGGAGATGCCAGAGCAGTGAACATTGCTTCGGGCCGGTACATCACCTTCTTCTTGAAGTTTCTACTTGAAAAGCAGCAGAAAGAAGGCTCCTTTAACTTTGTGGATGATGAGGAACTTATGGCCTACGTGTCGGGCGATCTGCAAAGTTCTATGGATACCTCGTGGGTTTGGAGGTCAACCTGCTCCAACCCGTCCTTAGATATAGGGGCCAAGCCACCATCTAGCACGCTAGTCACATCGAGCCCACCATTGAAGACGGAGTCTGCGGACACCGCTCGAGCAGACGGTGCCGAAACTGATGACCAAGCACAAGATTGGGAAGGATGGGGCTGGGTTGAAATGGTAACGCAGCGCTTGTTAGCTGAGCAGCAACAGCAGAACAATGCTATTTCTCCTAACGGTCTAGACAATCCACGTCTTGATCGCCCAGTCCCTAATGGCGTTAACGCCTCTTGCCGCTCTCCCGAGACGGCCACCAGCCCATGTCAAAAGAGCAACATCTCTAAGATGACAATTGCGAATATTATATGAGAATGGAGCGTTCCGAAAACCGCCACTCAACCAAGAAATAGCATCGATTCTTCATCTCTTGCGCCACAGCAATCCAGCCATGGCTTGGGCATTTAGCATCAATGCTGAGAACAATGCCACCACTGTCGCTACCTTTTACTTATGCCATGGGATACGAAAAGGCACAGAGAAGATGGGGTGACATGAAATAACGAATGTACATATGATACCCATTTACAACTGGACTTTGTTTACTAGAATATTCTTTTTTAATAATAAGAAGATCTCAATGATCATGTTTTCGCTTCTATTCAGCGGTCGTTGTCCAGTGTACTTTGTTCAATTGAAGCAATGCCTATGCTGTGCTATGGATCTATATAACACCACTCATTTTTTTTCTTTCAAGTCTCCAAGTTAATACTTTTTCCGAATCGTGCATAGAGAGCAATTTTCAATTGCTGTGCTTCCTCCTTTAGTGCTCCCAACTTCTCCTCTAGGTCAGAGACTTCGTTGTCGATTTTCTCAGTCGAAGCAGCTAGCATTTCTTGTGCCTCCGATAGGGGGAGTGACATGAAAGAGTCACCAATTTTGTACCTACTCCAAATCAGTACGGCTCATAATAAAAATTTTTGCACATTCAATCAATATTCAGACTCAGGTATTACTTACGGGACTGGAACATCCTCGTCGGCGAGGTCAAGTTCAGCGGAAACTTCCTCAAGATCTTCCTTGTCTTTCTGTAGTGTTTGTTAGCCCCTCATTCGTCATAAAGTCCATCATAATATGTAGCGCTGGGTTTAAATCGATAAAGAGCTCGTTGTAGCATAAATCTGAAGAACCAGCTGTAGAGATATCAAGGCTTGAGACACAAGCGTGCCGTATTCGTTCTTAACACCGTAGTATCTTCCTCGGTGCCAGAATACGTACCAATTTTGCCTTGAGCTGTGCTTCCAACACGGCCTCTCTTTGATGTAATCGACTGAAACGATTTATCTTTTCTTGATCTTCACGGCGGACCTCAGTCTCTTCGCTACTGGTGGCTTCATCGTCCTTCGAGAGCTAACATGTCTGTCAGCAGAAGCCAATATGGAGGGCGCGTCGGGGGTATATACTTACCATCCGACGTTGAAACATCCTGACTTCTGGAGTTCGTATAATTAGAAAGGTCTCCGGTCAATATCTGGTATATCTATAGCCTGTTGGCTGGGTGTTGTTGGGAGTTATATTAATTATACAGTGTGGAAGGTGTTGATGTTGTTGGAGATTTATCAAATGGAGGCACAACCGATGCGAATTTTGATATTTACTTTAACAAACAACGAGCCTCATGCAAATAACTATCAGCACAAGCATAAACTACACCCAAGAGAAGCCTGGGTATGTCTAGGGAATAACGCAATTAACGATGATGTGTTTAGCGAGTACCCACGGAAATTTCTATGGATACACAGGCGGTTTGCAGGTAGAGTTGACAGAAATACCGGATATCAAGAAAACAAATGATCGAAGCCTTTTTACATGCCTATCTGCCCAATATAATACACCTTCCTCTTTATATTATACATGCTAGCTTTCTGTAGCTGCTTCTTCTCTCCGCTGCCAGATCCCAATAGCAGTATCACGTGACACGACCTGAAGGGGAATGTTTAGTTATGATGCAACGCTGCGAAAGTCCAGCTTGCAAGCAGTTTACAGCTTTTGCATCCACATTGGTAGAGAAACTGCACATTTCCACGACGAAGCCGCTCTCAAGTCTTCCCTAGAGCTTCTCTTTTGATCTATCTATCCGTCTTTTCTCTCTCGCTCTTTTGACCCTGGTCTCAAACCTGGAACTGTTGGGACAACCAACCCGCGTGACGTCCTGAATTAAAGCCGAGCGTGGGCTGTAGCCTGCTACGACGACGACGGAGGCTGCGGCGATGATGGCGAGATACAAGGGGCTGTCGATTCTATCCTTATTTGCGATCTTTTCTTCATTAGCGTCTGCCGAGCTAGACTGTTCTAATATTAAGGTCGATGGAGTAATGTGGAATTTTGGCAAGCTTGGAGGTGCTCACTCGATCTCGGAGACCGCCAGCAGCCATGAAGGCTACAATACAACGTACACACTTGACATATGCAAGCCGTTAACCAAGACTTTGTGTAAAAAGGGTGCTTTTGGTGCGTCTACCTCTTGTGTGTTTTCCGTGGCTAGTTTGGTATAGCGCTAACCCTCGGTTCTTCTTACTGTAGTCTGCGCTGTCAGGAATGCAACGGATATAAATGGAATAGAACGAACCATGGACGTGATTGATATCGCTGGCAATTTCGTTTTGAACAGCGGCAGGACACTTGATCCTATATTCACACGGCTTAAGAAAGAGGATCCGAAGACAGAAGGCCTGAAGATGGAACTCCACGGCGGAAAACATAAATTTGGCAACTTGTTAAAGAGACAAAAGGCAGTGATTACCTTGTTGTGTGACCGGGAACGAACTGGGCTGGAAGGTTTGGAAAGCTCCAAGCCGGACGGGGATAAGAAAAAAGATGGTGAAAAGAAAGACGATGATAAAAAAGATAATAAGGACAAGGAGGGCAAATCCAAGAGAGATGGCGAAGAAAATAAGAAGAGCCTTATTTTTAAAAGCTATAACGAGGAGGAAGGCACCTTAGATCTGGAGTGGAAGACGAAATACGCTTGCGAGAACGTTGAAGACGGCGGTAGCGCACCATCCGGCCACTGGGGATTCTTCACCTGGGTTATTGTTCTGTATGTTGTTCTCGTTTCTTTACCCTGGTTGTCAGAGAGAGTGACTAACGTTTGATGCCATTCACAGCCTGTTCCTGTGCACTTCGGCTTATCTGATATTCGGCTCGTGGCTCAATTACAGCCGGTATGGAGCTCGCGGGTGGGACTTGCTTCCTCACAGTGACACGATCCGCGATATTCCCTATATCCTCAGGGATTGGGCTCGACGGGTAGTTAACACCCTTCAAGGGGGCGGCACCCGAGGTGGTTACAGTGCCGTGTGATATTTCTCTCTACGTCACGACTATTATTTCCTCCCTGGGCCTTAATGAGGGCTGTACACATATCTCTACCTTCTTCACCCTGTACTATTTCCGGCCCGCCTTGATGGTCTTGTTGAGCTTGTTTCAACGGAGCAGGGCCCGGTCGATCTTATTCCATCCATTATTCTACCCACATACTCAACCTATTTCCTGTTAGATCGCACCGACTATTTATCCTTTCAGAATTTATGAGTTCTATTTTTCTTTGGGAGCTGGTGGTCTTTCTTTTCCTGCATTGATTATCATAGTTCTATTCTTCTATTCTATTATTTATCTATTTCGTTGGAAGAACTTGCTCTACATGCAGTTTTAGCTTGATGTCACCTCTCGATATATATCGTCTTCGGTTTGATGCCTTGCTTACGAGTATGAGAAGCAGTACGTTATACTACTTACGCTCTAACGTTGCTATGATTGCATGAATTCCTTCACTTTGTTTGTCTTTTGACTCTTAGGTAAAGAAAGGGGCATATTCCAGCATAGCAACAAAGCACCACGATGCAGCATTCCGTACCACACTATGCCTAAAATGCCACTCCCGAACTCGTCATATCAAACCCTAGCCTACGTAAATGGGGCGCTGGATAACCGAGATAAGTCTAGCTATCCTAGACATTGTGAGAGGACAACAGGCCGGTAGGACCGAAAAGGAAGAATGAAAGTAACAGAGGAGCCCTGGTAATAATATCATCCGAACTAAGACATCACCATGCGGGTTGAATCGTTTGGCACAGATGCTTAGCATAGCTATTTTTCTCCCAATACTTTCCAGAGTAACATGTAGGGTTCGAATGAGATGGAGAATAATCGAGCTATATCTTCATGGCAAATTTCTTCAAATAGCGGTAATCCGCCATGTTTCGGTCAACGGCAGAGCGAATGATCTTTGCTCCTTTCTCACCGTACTTCTCCTTCCACTCAGCGTCGAACTCTTCTTCGGTTTTGGCTGCTTTCTTCTTATTGGCGACGGAAGAGTAAGTGTCAGCTGTACAGGTTCCAAAAATAGCAACACCCTGGGTGCCAGGGCTACACAGAGGGATTATTAAGTGTTTCCCAGGGAAGACTTACGTGGGCTCTTGGACGTAGGCTTTTGGAACCTAGTGCATCATCGTGGAAGCCATGCCATTTGGCGAAAGCGTCATGAGCCACTTTCTGGTCTTTCTCTGAGGACCACTGGAGCATCTCAGGGGTGTATTCTTCCCCAACACTCTTGCAGAAGCGTTCGATCACAGCTGCAGGGTTGTCCAGAAGATCATCTGCGTCGACCACGCATATTTCGACCTTCTCTGGCTCACTATGAATTCCATTTGTGGTTCCATTTGTGGTTCCATTGACGGTTCCATTCAGGGTTGCATTTGCATTTCCAGTATGGACTGTACTCGCGTGGGATGGCCCAACAAATTGGATTTTGCGGAGATAGTCGAAGAACCGGCGCAGTTCGTCATATCCAGATTCGTTTTCATAGAACTCATAGAATCCTGTGACATCGTCTAGAGGCGGGATGGTGCAGCGGTAGTACGATGGGATACTATAGTGCGGATCACGAATCAAGAAGGCGAAATGGAACTTCGAGAGCAGCTCTTGCGGGATAACCGTCGGATTATCAGCCTCCGGGTTTGTTTCTGGCGCTGAGATGCTCCCGTTGGTACGGTGTGGCGTTTCAGAATCCTGGGCTCTGGCCACACCGTTAGAAGAGGCCCCGTTGGTGTCCATGTTGGTGCCGATTCCACGTTTGGGTATCTGAAGTGAGGCTACTCTGGTTGCTGGCTGCGCATCGGGCGGCATGATGTAGTATGCCATGTCCTTGATGAAGAGTCGTTTCCCCTAGATGTAACGGTGAGCATTTTGCGCTGCGTGTTTGACGAAGCCAATGAGTGACCGCCGTAGAATGGGAACATTGCAAAAAGCAAAAGAGATAGACAGGAACAGCAGTGTCAAATTTGCTCGAGTGCGCTACTCTCGGATGTAGCAATCGATGAAAGGAAAATGGGCATCATACGGATCGGTGAAGAACACAATATGAACACATATCCTGACATGGGGGCATTGAGCGTCCTCTAGATATCCATTTCAAGGCATAAGGGGGTTTCCATATAATTTGGAAAGTAACAGCAGCATCAGGAGGAGAAAAGTAGGAATGAGGAGAGAAACATCAGAACGCATGGAAGAGCAAGAGAGTGACGGCCGCGACGGTGTTTGCTTTTCTCAATTGGCAGGGGAAAAAAGGGTCACACCTCTGATGCTTCTCTGTCAAAGCGGTCGAAGATCGTTTTGTAGGTTGACTCGTGGAAGCCCGTCTGGATTCTGGCTTCCTCATCATCCTCGTATCTTTTGCTCAGTCTCTCAGGGCCGTAATAGAAGGCATCGCCGAGCGGTTCGTGGATGCACTTTAGAGTGTCATGGCGGGTCATGAAGACCTGGACGAGAGGTTAAACCACGTTCAGGGAAGGGGGACGGCAGTATTTACTCTTTCAAAGGCCGTAGAGCATGCTCGGGGATGCGTAGCCACGAAGATAGAGCGTTTAGCCATGGTGAAATTCCAGTAGTAGTAGTAGTAGTAGTAGTAGTGTTGATATATGGAAGAGCTTCTCAGCTGTAACTAGCTTGTAGATGGCAGGGAGAAAAGAATGGCTGCCGACACTGACAGAAAAACACAAAACGCTTTTACGTCAGGAAGACTGTCAGCAGCGATTGCCTCGGTGGCTTTATATCGGAAGAAAAGAAGCCAGCCAGAGTGACGGATGTTGATAACTATGAGATAACTAGCCGGGGGCAATGGACAGGAGAGTCAAACTGCCGGCAAACAACCGCAACGTCACGCAGAAAGATAAATGCGATTTAGTGACGACAGAGAACCGGACAGAAGACGGATGGCGGGAGGGTATAAGCGTGTATATATATATATATTTCCAAGTATACTCCGTACAGACACACTCTAGCTACCACGGAACCAAAGAAAGCGTCCTGAGTCAAGGCGGTGGTGGCCCGGGATGACGTTGATATGGAACCAACACGATCAACACTGAACTCGCAGCGCAACGAGGGAGCGGAAACGAAAAATCTCTGCTGGCTCGAACCTACACGCGTGTCTCTCCAGTTTTTTTTACCTCTCATTCTCAACTAGCTAGCTAACTAGCTAGTTATCGTTTTCGCCCTGCTGGGCCTTGCCGGGTTTCCATGACACATATTTCTGTGGACACCAAATGAAAAAGAACGCACGCAGAACGTGTATTGGGGTCGATGCTGGATAGGAACTGCTCTTCCTGAGGGCCTTTCGGGCTCGTTAGTTATTGCCACTCACAGCAGACGGGCTGGTGGGATGGAGGGGAGCGAAAAGTGCGCAGCTTGCAAGGTGCAGCAGGACGCATCAAGGGGGCTGGGTTGGATGGCAGAGACGGCCGCCCGCGCCAGGGAGAAGCGAAGGCGCTTAGTGCCACAGCGCCGGCCTGGTCTTTTTTTT